AAAAAAAGTCGCCTCTACAGTCCATTTCTATGCATTTTGGTAAATGAATTCAACAAAATTACAAATTTCAAGTTTCAATTTTCATTAACATTCTCAGAAGTTATAAATGAGTAAAGGAATATCGCGGGAAATATTGTAGGAAGTGTTTATTTCTTTTTTCCCCCCCCCCCCCTCTCTCTCTGTTTTCTCTTTTTCAATTTTACATTCTTTTCTTTTTATTTTCTCGTTATTTTTCTAAATTTTTTTCCTTTTTACTCCTTTTTTCCGTTTATTATTTTCTCATTTCTTTTTCTTTTTTTTCCGATATTTTTAATTTTTTTAAATTTAAATTTACTTTTCAACTCATACTAACATTAAATCATGAAACAATTAAGCAAATAAAAAAGGAAAGCATTAATTAAATATGTATACATAAAAAAGAAAATGAAATTCGGGAAGTGAATTTTTGTAATCTTACTATCATTTTCCACTTCATGAAAATACTTCTTTCATGTCTTTCATCATGACTAATTTATTGCTAATTAATTACTCATTCATTAAATGAATTTAGCTGGTCAGTAATCAGATATATATCCGATTGACTTTAAGAAATGGTTTACTACTTTTTCTTGGGGGTTTTTTTTTTGGTTTTTTGGTTTTTGGTTTTTTTCCTTGGTTTACTGTTTTTTTGTTTCCGATGAGATTGTATTGCCCTTGGATAAGGTGGAAATTCTTTAATTAATTTAAGGTTTTCCGAGAAGAAAAGCATTCTCACTTTTTATTTCTTAAATTCTTTTATACTTAAATTACGGAAATATCGTTCCTCAGTTATGCAACTATCCAATTAAGAGAGTCCAGCTGTTTTACAATATTTGATTAAAATAAATTCGATAAATGATTTCATGTGTCTATTTAAGAACACAATTTTCCCTAAATATTAATTTTAGAATACAATCCTTAGGAACAAAATTGCATCTCTGGTATTCATTAACATTTTTTTCAATGAATTTTTCATTTTTTCCTATTCAATTTTACAAGAATTAAAATTTTCGCTAATCACAGAACTTTTCGAATAATTCAGTAATTGATAAAAAGTGATAACAAATTTTTTGCTGTGGATGTAGGTCGATGTGCGGTCAAAAAATCTAGGAATAACTGTTTTAATGATTTCGAAAATCCACTTTTATTTTAAATTGAACTATTTTACAGATTTCTAGAAACAAAAGGACACCATTTTTGGCAGCAGGCTGAATAATTATGTTTTCATTGGATGAGTTATGCAAAACCNTTTGATGCTTCTCATTATCAGATGAATTATT